CCAGATATTCTCACCATCAGACACGGTATAATCAGGACTTGTGATGTTCTGGAATCATTCAGCTGCAGATTTAACTCTTGTGTGCTGATTCGGAGTCCTACTTTGGCCTCATCTTTCTGTATTTCAGCAAGTGGAATGATTTCGCTGACTTACGTTCAAAATCTCAGAACCACACTCAGATGGACTCGCCTGTTTCTGATGTTGGTGCTGTTTTTGCTTCATTGACTTCCATTATAAGCACATTTATTAAATGCAAATAAAATACAGCATATAATCATGCATTCTGGATTATTGCTGGTTTTCCCAGCTCATTTCTCCTACTAAAGTGATAGATTGCCTGTCTTCCCAACAGGGAAAACCAACAACTATACAGAATGCAGGATGATCTGCTGCCATGGCTTTACAATCAAGAAATGTGGTTAAAATGGAAGCACATCACCAACAACACGCCAAAGGGGAGTCAATTTAAACAGTACACAAAGGGTTAAAGCCGCCGCTCCTGTGTGATTATGATGAGATGATGAGCAGTGCATTGTGGGATGTTGAAGTTATTATGACGTCTGGTGTGATGTGTACTAATGCAGTCAATTCTGCCTGAGGTAAATCTACCCACATTTGCAGATATTCTGATGGCTTTAGCACAGATCGTTCTAGGTGTACTGTTGAAGTCAAAAACTTTTTCACTTCTTCCTTTTTTTCAGTATTTGCTAAGTGCAAGGAATTTTCCACAGTATTTCCTGTAATATTTTATTCTTCTGGAGAAAGTTGTATTTTATTTTGACTTCACTAAAAGTTTTCACATTTTTAAAATAAACAAGGTCAATTTTTATTCATTCACTCGTTCATTTTCCTTTGGCTTAGTGTCTATTTCAGGAGTCACCACTGCAGAATGAACCGCCAACTATTTCAGCACATATTTGAAGCTTCAGGTTGCAATCTAGACACCTAAACACCCATACACACTCACACTCATACACTACGTGAAGTTTATTTATAAACTAATGTCGAGAGGATCACGTGCTTATGATTGATCACAGCCGGTCCTGCATTATCCAATTCATGATTCACCAATCAGACGAGTCCTAAGCCACTATAAACACCCTCAGCTCCAAAACACAGCCATCTTCGTTTGGTTATTGCTCTGATCTTATTGCCTTTTGGGGTGTTCTTCAATACGCAGCTGCTGTCCCTGAGCCATTTAAGGCATTTTGGGGAGTTCTCAAAATCTACCTGAGCTCAAACTCCCCTCTCGCCTTGCAAATGGGAGGAAGCCCCAAACTCGAGGATCTAATGAGCTCAGGGCTCTCTCCCGGGACAGCATGCCAAACGCTTTATAATCAATCATCAGCTGAGGGCGAACTCTTGCAGTGAAGGTTATTTACACACTAATGTCGAGAGGATCACGTGCTTATGATTGACCACAGCCGGTCCTGCATTCGCCAATTCACGATTCACCAATCAGACGAGTCTTAAGCCACTGTAAACACCCTCAGCTCCATATCACAGCCATCTTGGTTTTGAAGAATCCCCCCTTCCTCCCCTACTCCTCCTCCTTTCCTAGATGGGCGGCACGGTGGCCCAGTGGTTAGCACTGTTGCCTCACAGCAAGAACGTCACTGGTTCTAGTCCTTACCAAGCCAGTTGACGTTTTTGTACGGAGTTTACACGTTCTCCCCGTGCTCACGTGCGTTTCCCCCGGGTTCCCCGGTTTCCTCTCACCATCCAGAAACATGCAGCTTAAGTTAATTGACTAATCCACATCAGCACATAGACATGCTAGTCAGTAGTTATCTGTTAAGAGCGATCACTATCTGTTCATCAGCTACTACAGCAGGGGAGTTCTCCACATCTACCTGAGCTCAAACTCCCCTCTCACCCTGCAAACGGGAGGGAGCCTCAGGCTCGAGGATCTCATGAGCTCAGGGCTCTCTCCCGGGACAGCATGCCAAACACGCTTTATAATCAATCATCAGCTGAGGGCGAACTCTTGAAGGCCAGTTTAGTTCATTATTTCCCCTATAGCGCATGTGTTTGGAGTTTGAGGAGTCGAACCAGCGACCTTCTTGCTGTGAGGGCACAGTGCAACACCCCTGAGCCACCGTGCTGAGTTAAGTCAATATTATTAACCTAGTTAATCCTTTAAATAGCAGTTTTTAAATTCAGAATACTGTCTTGAAAAAAAAATAAGTTTTGACTTCAACTGTATTTGGCTGAAACTGGACTCAACAGGTTTGTTTCACAGTGAACATTTGTTTTTATGGTAGATCAGTGTGTGTTTAGTCCCTTATAAGATACGATGAAGTTAGATGAGCATTTTCTAATGCTTCAGAATGGATTACACACAAATATTTACTTGACGAAGTGTAATTCGCCCTTTATTCACCGCACCAAGACTGTGTTGAAACTGGGCAATATTTGCTTTACATCCAGATTCACACTCATTGCCCTTTGTATTTATTGCTAGTCTTCCCAGCAGGCGTCACACTTATTTTCACTGTGTCTGTCATATTTCTCAATGTCTTTGAAAAAGCACTTCATTTATTCTGAATAAACCTGAATAAGATTCATCTGCAGTGTGAATGATGACCCATAGGGGGCGCAACCACTATTCTGTACAATAACAATGGCCACATTTACTCTTATTAAAATGTGTTTTCATTAGTCCAATCACAAGTGGATGCCAGTAAATATCAGCGTACACACTGGATGGGTTTCTTCCACAGTGTAATAATCGCTCATGTGGTCGAATGTGTTCAAAAATAGAAATACACTGAGGAACAAGAGAACTAAGTGACTTTTGCAAATCAATGTTCATATTTGGAAGCATTAAAACAAACCCGCTGGGCTACACTTTAAAAGATTGTCGGCACCAATATTAACACAACTATGTGCATTCTGAGTTCAAGTCTCGACTCTCTGACCTTTCCCAAACTTTTATGACAGCAATAAACTGAAACATTTTATTGTATTTCAGCAAAGTTCTTCATCTGTTAAAGGTTTAAGGGGACATGTTGAGAGAGTACACAGATCACTGTGGATATCTAATTTTCCATTGTTATTGATTTGTTATCCTGTGCACCTGTACACCAGGTAACATCGCTTCAACCAACAGTACACTCTTACTGAACACATGAACTGAACACCAGATAGACACGCAATTGATTTTTGGCCGAACACTTGTGATCAGATCACTGAAAACATGTTATATACCAAGTTGAAACGAGCCTGTATTAGCGTCCATGCTATAGGACAATATGGTTATGCTAATTATAAGTTGTGTAACAGGTGTTATATTATATATATTAATTTCACTCAAAATTCTCCTTGTTATTCATCAAATATTTTTATTTAATTGTGTATTGTCAAAGTTGTTCTTTAATTATCTTATATTTCAGAGTTAATGAAATCATAGTTGTGTGATTTTTCAATGTATTGGTGTATTTTGGAAAATTGTGCGTGGCCCCTTTAAGTGTCATTTTCCGGGTCACGGCACCAATGTGACCGGTCCTCGCTTTACTCTGCGTTGTGTTGTGATTAGGCGAAAGGAACCAGTCATATGAGAATTAACAGGCTTTTATTCTGCATGAATAAAACAAACAAATGGCAAAGCTGAGTATGTGCCTTCCTTAGGAGCTCACCAACCTCTCCTCAATCGCGTTTGACGCGAACTGACATAAATCAGGTTGAAGTGTGTTTACATATGTGTTTATGCTTCTGTTATGTTTTTGAATTTATGTATAATGTTTCTCTCTTTTTTTTTGGTGTATGTTAAACACACTTCAACCTGATTTATGTCAGTTCGCGGCAAACGTGATTGAGGAGAGGTTGGTGAGCTCCTAAGGAAGGCACATATACTCAGCTTTGCCATTTGTTTTTTTTATTCATGCAGAATAAAAGCCTATTAAATCCCATATGACTGGTTCCTTTCGCCTGATCACAACACAACGCAGAGTAAAGCGAGGACCGGTCACAGTTGCAGTTTCCTCTCTTTAACTCAGGGGTGCCCAAACCCTGTCCTGGAAAACCGATGTCCTGCAGAGTTTAGCTCCAACTCACTTCAGGCCAGGAAGATTTAGTTTACCTAACTAGTTCTGGTGTGTCTGATTGGGGTTACAGCTAAACTCTGTAGGACACTGACCCTTCAGGACCGAGTGTGTGCACCTCTGCTTTAAATATATGAGTTCTTTACAGTCAGATAGATTTTAATAATCAGTTATTGTTGTTTTTGACTAATCACCTGCTTTAAAAGAGTCATTCTGGAAAATGATTATAACCGTGTCATACTACTGTGCCATTATTGTTGTAGCTCAGGGATGGGCAACTTTAGTCCTGGAAAAACCACTGTCCTGCTGAGTTTTGCTAAGACCTTAATCAAACACTGACAAGCAGTTCTTTGAGGGTGCTTTCACACCTGTGAATCGATTCAGTTGTTCTGAAACAGAGATTATAATTGTTACATTTTTGCTCTTGGAGCGGTTCGCTTTCACACGGCAAAGTTTCTAATCGGACCAAAAGAGCTAAAACAAGTCACGTGCGAGTGAACTCTCCTCACATTGGTCAGAGTGTCAGGGTTTATTTTGCAGCGTCCCGCTCAGCTGTCAGGAGAGGTGGTGGTTTGGTGGTGATTGACAGGGTGCGCGCGCGACGTGTCTGAGGAGAGATGTGGTGGGGAGGGGTGAGAAGGGTGCGCGACGATGCCTATTTGAGGACCGGGAGGGAGACGCGAGAATACCGGGAGATCATCACTCGTTTGCGGGCATCCGGAGACTCGCGAAACTTCCCGCCCTACTCATAATTCTCTCTTCATATAGCCGTAAGCCTATTACATATCCATAAAACACTGTGATATAACCGCGCTCGGATCGTATCGCTTTCTCACTGCAATCGAACCGCTCCAGGGTTCGTTTCAATCGAGCCGAGACCACCTCACTCAGACGGTCTCGGAGAGTTTACTTTGGCGCGGAACAGAGCGCGATTGCCCTGTTCACATATGCCAAACAAACCGCGCTAACTGGGCAAACGAGACACGTTCCCAAACAAAAGTGTAGGTGTGAAAGCACCCTAAGATCACTGGAAAGCTCCAGACAGGAGGGTCTGATTAGGAATGAAGGCAAACGCTGCAGGTCCTCTTGAACAGTAGTTCCCAATTCCGGTCCTCTGGACCCCCCGCCCTGCACATTTTGTATGTCTCTCTTACTTGACACACAAGGATCAGTTCATGGATTTCTTTGTTAATGAGCTGACGATCTGAATCAGGAAGACATACAAGATTTGCAGATCAGAGACTGGAATAGGGAACCACTGTTCTAGAACTCAGTTGAAGCTGTAGTGAGGACTTCACTGTTCTCGGAGAGATAAAGCCACAGCCTTTATCCCTGTACTTATCATTCAGGATTTTAGTCTTCCAGATCTGGTGAAGTGCGGCTTACAGTCACGACACACTCTTCCCTCGCTCTTTGAGTCCTCAGCTCAGAGTAGAGCTGATCGTCCAGTGTGGACAGCAGTTTGTCTGATGGACTGATGTCGGCAAGTGTGTGATGAATATAGTCCTGATCCGGGTTTGCAGAATCCGGTATGAGTGTATCTACATGTGAACTAATCACACTTATTATCTGTGTATGTGGATCTGTGGGATGCACAGTTGTTCCAGAGTCCTTCGGTGTCCCACAATCCCTGGCAGTGTTGTCCTGTGATTTCGATGAAAAGAAATGTCGGTGTAAGTTGTTGCTGCTGTTGTTTGCGTTTTCCTCCAGGTCTGGACCAGAACTTGGCTCTTCTAGCGGAGGACCATCATTCCCAGATTCCAGACTGTCTTTTTCATTCTCAGGTGTTTCTGTACCTGTTGCTCCCTCGCTGGCCTCCTCATCTGCTGCACTAGCGATGCGAGGTAAGGTACTGTGGTATCGTGTATCCAGTGGGTAGTTGGCACTGTCGCCTCTGCGTAGCGGATAGCAGCGCTGGCGCTCTAGGGACGGTGAGTATCGAGCGGCTCCTGGGTCGCTGTACTGTTTGCTGCGCTGCCACTGCTTTCGGAGATGAATTCGGGACCGGTGCCGGTGTCGCAATGAGGGTGAACCCTGTTGGTCAAACTGGGGATCATGTCTTAGAAATTCATTAAACAGCGCCTCCGTCTTCTCATCGATGCTGTAGTCTCGGCGGCGGAATCGTAGCCTAGGTTTGGTCGTCGGTTGTGTCTCTTGGCTCTTTGGAAGCTCTGGCTCCAAACTTGCCTCATCCTCCAGCTCCTCTTTAAAAAGCCTCGCTTCAAAACTCTCACAAACTGTTCCTTTACGGCCAGAATTGGTGAAGAAGCGGCGTCGCTCAGACGCTGTCTTTCCAGAGCCGCTTCCGAATAGTCTGAGTTCCTCTGGAGCTTTGCATGGAGCTTCAATCGAGGCGTAGCCACTGTCCATCTGCAGGAGCTTGCGGTTGTTTGTTTCTCCATCGCTGCCTCTTTCAGAGTCCAGACTCTCTCGTCCGTTTCTTCTCTGTCCAACATCCCTTATCATATCATCATACGGCAGCTCCCCATCCAAATCATCATCGATGTCCTGCGACTGGTAGCTGGGAATGCCTGTTCTGGAGGCTCCTGCGGAGCAGACGCTGTCGGCATCGCTGCGTGTAGAGTCTCTGTCATTGCTGCTCAAGTCTGAGGAAGCATACTGCTCCAGAGACGCGCGCAGACTCCAGATATCACGGTACAGACTGGGCTGATCCAGGCTCTCCAACTGACCCATGGGTACAAACTCCTCCCCACCGCCTCCTGATGCTCCAGCCTCCATCTCCATTCCGTCCGCCTCTCCGTCCTCCATATCCAGAGGTCTGTGAAGTGAAGAAAACACTGGAGGTGTGTCTTTTGCCCTTGTGTCCGTGTTGTTTGTGTGCTCCATTACAGCTTCCACCTCTAATCTGTAGGAGTGAACATACAGGAATAAGAGTCTGAGCCAAAAGAAGGATTTCTTTCAACAACAAACTCCAGAAAGAGAGGTAAACATCATTCTTAATGTTATGGATATAGCGATTTAAATGAAACCATTCTAGTAGATGCATCATGGTTCATCTATAAATGATTCTAAATTCTTATATCGAAATGTCAGACAAGACTTAAACAAGGAGCTGAGATTTAAGTGCTGAAGTTTGATGTGCATTGGAGATGCCAAGAATTAGAGCAGACGTGTCCAGTCCTTCTTTTCTAAAACCCAAAGATTTCAACTGAGCTGTACAGTACAGATGAATTCAATACAACTCACCTTGATCAGGCTTGGGCTTCCAATACGACACTGTACTGTTCAGTGGAAATTAACCACAACTAGCTAAACAAGGTCTTCAGGACTGCAAGAAACGTTCAGGTAAGTGTGTTTGGGAGATCAGTGTAAGCCTCTGTGAGACACTAGAGGAGAGCTTTCACCTGTTTCTCAGGTAGGAGATGAAGGGAAGTGAGTTTTGTCATGTAGGCATTTACCCATCCTTGAAATTGTTTCTCTGCTTTTAACACGTCCAAGTGCACACATGCATATTGAGTGAGGAGTGAGAGCACACAGTAATTAGGGGTTCATTGCCTTGCTCAGAGCAGCTGGTAATTGAAGATGGATCTTCAACTCCTGCTTGCACCGGGAATCAAACCTGCAACCTTTTGATTACAAGTCCACCTCCCTAACCATAAAGGCTGGTTTATACTCCTGCAGCGAGTGCACGTGGACGATCAGGCACAACCTTTGTGCAGTCACAGACCCTTCGATGTGCACCTCTCAAATGATCTAACTGCACATCGTGACGATGCATTGTGCAACCTCTGTTATTGGTTGGCTTGGTATAGATGACAAAACTGGGCGGGGCCCAGAAACATAGAGTCAGAGCGAGCCCGATTGAAATAAGTCTTTAACAACTGTGGAGTCCCGTTAAGAAGCTCTAGGGGAGACTTTTGTGTTGTGTTTAGCTTATATGATAATGTTGTACATTAAGATAGCTTTACAGGTTTTTTCTGGTGTGATCGAAACACCCACGGAGAAACTCGGCACAGTGGAACCAAGAAACCCCACTGTCAGCTTGTGTTTCTGAAGTGTTACTACAGAGAAACACAACCAGAATGCAGGAGTATAACAGCACAGCTAAACGCAAGGCAAGGTACACTCCGTGACTTACGGCAATCACTCGACACAGAAGTATAAATCCGCCTATAGGACACAACTTCCCCAGCGGGGTGTGTGTGTGTGTGTGTGTGTGTTTGTCTGTGTGTGTGTGTGTTTGTCTGTGTGTGTGTGTGTGTATGTACCTGCTGAGGGCAGACGGAGCTCCGGCAGTGGTGTCTAAAGATCCAGCTGAGAGGCGTCTTGGCGGCTCCGTCTGCGGCTGAACGCAGGGTTTCCTCATCAGGAAATGATCAACTCCATCATTCTGCAAGGTTTCTTCTGCTCCCTGATCCAGAGTCTCGCTGGCTGCCCGCTGCCTCTGAAACACTCGCCTCCGAGGAGAACCTAGGAGGACACAAGAATAAGAAAAATAAATATATAAATGTGTAGTGTAAATAATGAGCTCTGCTCTGATACACAGATATTCTATAGAGATGTTTTATAAAGCGCAAGAGAGATGACGGTGAGAGCTGCGAGATATGACACAGTGCATTAGGCACTCATATTCAGCATGTGCCTGTTATCTTGTTACAAACATATGCAGCTAATTTCACAATATACACGTCAAACTAAGATACGGTTAAAGGGTCATGAAACACCAGAACACATGTGTGGAGCTGTTGACAGTCATATCTGTGTCCCGCGCTGCTATAAACACTATTAGCAGGCACGTGCACACATACCTGTGCAGTGCACATGCCCTTTTTAGTCTTGGATAGAAAGTGCCCTTCCAAAATGATCAAGAGTCGCGACGCGCACACCCTCCATCCCGCCTTTGAGTAGGCGCGTGACAACATCGCTCTTGAGTACGCGTGCTCAACCCCCCCCACCCCACCCCACCCCCGCTTTACAGTACGCACGCGAGAACACAGATGATCAGAACACGCGTGCGACAACACTGCTCTTCAGTATGCGCACAACAACAACAACAACCCCCCCCCCCCCCCCTAACAATTAACAAACAAAGCAAAACAAAAGAAGAGAAACGCACCTCATGTTCACAGTAACCGTATAACAAGTCTAAGCAATTGGAGCATGCCTCTGTGCCGCTTTTAAAGTCATGTAATCAGTTCATAACCATCCTCCGACTGTGTGTGTGTGTGTGTGTGTGTGTGTGTGTGTGTGTGTGTGTGTGTGTGTGTGTGTGTGTGTGTGTGTGTGTAACCAGCGGAATCTGGAACAGGCGCATGTGAGCGATCTTAGTGTGTAACTTTATTGTACAGATTTGATCGTAATAATCTAGGAAAAGTCTGTAAAATAACGTTAATAATGTTTTTCTGTAAACATTTTAAAGAAAACATCTGTAGATTTATTATTTTTTGCGCTTTATTTCAACAAAGAAATTTTACCGTAATTTTATGTTTTTTGTTTGGCAGCCGTAGCTGCCAGTCATTTGACCTTTTTTTTTTTTTTTTTACAGCGCACTTAATTACAATTCATTACTTTAATTTTACGTACTATTAAATGTACTTTTAAAAAAACAGGAAAAAACATTGTGTAAATAACACAGCTATTTTATAGTATAAAACAGACAAATTGCTGTAATTTGTCATTACTTATATAGTACATGAAATAACAGTCAAGCCGTTAATTTACTGATATTGTTTGTAATTTTTACGAACTTTTGAATATAATTTAAAATAACAGAAAAAATACTGTAAAATAATACTGTAATTTCCCTGTGTAAAAAACACACATGTCAGTAATTTGTCTTTAATAATAAAGTACCTAAAATGAAAGTCAAACTGTTAATTTAGAGAGATTATTTGTCATTTTACTAAGTTTTGAATATAATGTGAAATGACAAAAAATTATTGTAAAAAATGTAGTGATTTTTTTCTGTAATTTGTTTTTTTACAGTGTAGTTGGTATGGTCAGCAGAACTCTTTCAGTGTTTAAAGACAGACATTAGTCAGAGAGATTGAGTTACTCAGTGCACAGCAGGTTATCATCACTACAGTATTCTGGAAGATCTGCTGTAAATGCTGCTCTCCCAGTGTAAACATGTGAATCAAACTATTACCGCCCTGGAGGATTTACATCACTTTTTGTGACAGGATAGTCGATACACACACAACTTTCTGACGCTACCTACAGACTATATCTGAGTTAGCAAGAAATGCAGAGGGTTTATTCTCCCATTCGCTGTGCGGTATCAAACACTCCATCACCACTACACTCTTCCAGCAGTTCCTGCATCCAATATCTGGTTTGTCACAGGGGGCATGCAGGAAATATTCCTGAATGAAAGTAAAACTACACTGTAAAAAAATCCAAAATTTTACGGTTTATTTATGGCAGGGTGCCGAAAAAAAAGTAAAATAATGGATATTAAATTCCAGAAATTTCCTTAAATTAAAATTTCTGGTAAATTTCTGTCATTTAATATCCATTATTTACAGTAAATTTCTGTAATTTAACATTTATTATTTAATGGTAAATTTCTGTAATATAATATCCGTTATTTTATGGTAAATTTCTGTAATTTAATATCCGTTATTTTACGGGAAATTTCTGTAATTTAATATTCGTTATTTTACGGGAAATTTCTGTAATTTAATATTCGTTATTTTACGGGAAATTTCTGTAATTTAATATTCGTTATTTTACGGGAAATTTCTGCAATTTAATATCCGTTATTTTATGGTCAATTTCTGTAATTTAATATTCGTTATTTTACGGGAAATTTCTGTAAATTAATATCCGTTATTTTATGGTAAATTTCTGTAATTTAATATTCGTTATTTTACGGGAAATTTCTGCAATTTAATATCCGTTATTTTACGGGAAATTTCTGTAATTTAATATTCGTTATTTTACGTGAAATTTCTGTAATTTAATATCCGTTATTTTATGGTCAATTTCTGTAATTTAATATCCGTTATTTTATGGTCTATTTCTGTAATTTAATATTCGTTATTTTACGGGAAATTTCTGTAAATTAATATCCGTTATTTTATGGTAAATTTCTGTAATTTAACATTAGTTATTTTTCGGTAAATTTCTATAATGTAATAACCATTATTTTATAGTAAATTTCTATAATTTAATATCCATTATTTTCCAGTAAATTTCTGTCATTTAATGGTCGTCATTTTACTTTTTTTTTTCTCTCTGCACCCCAGCTGCCGGAAATAAACCGTAAAGTTATGGATTTTTTTTTTTACAGTGTGCTGTACTGCAGTTAAAGTCCACAAATTAATTATTTGGTAAATAATTTGATTACTGATGTCCATGTAAGCACAGTCAATGACTATGTTTACAGGGACATCAGTAAAAGAATGATTTGCTTTAATCTAATTAAGAGATTAATGAGATTAAAGTGTTTACATGAGTTGCTTTCTCAGTGTTACTTTCATGATCGCGTTTAACGTTATAGCACATAATTCAACTAACGTCATTGCGTCACCGCACTATCCGCATTTCCTCTGCAGTTTCATGTAATTTCATTTTTAATTTGTCGACTTCATTGGATGCATCTATGAACTGCTGGAAGAGTGTAGTTTTAACGGAAGTTCATGCCGCATGCTGAATGGAAGAAAAAAGCCTCCGCATTTCACGATGCCGGTGTCTGCACTGACTAGATAGGTGAATAGAGTGTAAAATAGCCACGCCGTGCTGCAAAACGCTGCCAGAAGCCCTTCGTGATGGTAATAACTCGATTAAGGTGTTTAAATGTCTGTGCTGCACTTCAATAATACGTCTAGAATCAGCACACTCCACACGGCTTAAATCCATTCCTCTTTACTTCGATTATGACCTTAATCTGATTGAATTAATAATAAATAGCTGTTGTTTACATGGTCAACTCTCAACCAGAGTATTGTCTTAATCGCATTAATTATCGTGTCCATGTGAACGTAGTCACTGTCTTTCTCCTGATAATCAGCACGGGCCCAAACTGAAACTTTATAGGGTAACACTGAATAAATGTATAATCCAATAAACCCACATTTTGCATTGAGCTGTAATGCTTCACAAAACTGCTTACTCCTCCTTAAAGCCTCAGGTTTTCAAAATAAGAGTCCTGCACAGTGTGTAAAATGCATGCTTAGATGAACATGAGGGGGAAATGACATTGCTATAATCTCACTAGGCAACTGTGTCCAATCAAATGCAGCCTGAGTGAAAAACAGTCAAATAGGGATCACAAGCGCCCACAGCAGGTTCTGTTGATCCAAGTCTTGCTAGCTTGAAACAGATGTTAATATGAGCAGATATTAATATGCGTCTCTATGGAGATCCCAGTGTAGCCGCCATTATGGCTCATTGTTTTTCTTGTTTGTCACGGGTCACGTGACTGATCAATGGTGCAGGATTTGAAGAACAGAACGGCATCCGTTTGCAGAGATGCATTTAAGGGGTTCAATAGAATGTAATGTCTAGATAGCAGTCAGATCAGATTTAACACATGCAGTGGCCCGCTCTGAACAGCAGCCGAGACTGCAGCTTGTTTTGCAGGAGCTCATGGGCAGGTTTTGCCGCCAAACAGCCGTGAAGACTCCCTCATTCCTCAGTAATGAGCGTTTAATGCAATATACTATTCTGAAATGAGCCGCGGCGCTGACTGACCTTTCACATCAGCTGAAGATTAATCTGATTACTGTGGGATTCATTTATCAGCGAGCTGCTTTCGTCAGAGAAATCTCACAGAGATCACATGACCAAACTAAATTGAGCTCCTCTGGCCGCATTGATCCGCTATTGATTCCTCTGCTCCAGGATCAGTCAGAGCTGGTGTGAAACTGTGTTTGAGCTGACTGTGATTTACGGAGGAGTCACTCACACAGGTGTGTGTGTGTGTGTGTGTGTGTGTGTGTGTGTGTGTGTGTGTGTGTGTGTGTGTGCGTGTGTGTGTGTGTGCACCTCGTGTGTCCAGGCTGGCCGCTCTCTGCATGGTCTCCTGTCTCCACTTCTTGACGCTGAACAGCGGAGCGGCTCCCTCCAGGCTGGCATGGCGGCGCAGTTTCGACAGGAAGTGGAACATGCCGCCCTGAGCAGCTGGACAGGAAGTGGAATCTCTGTCCGTCAGCAGACTGTGGCTCATCACCTCAATCTGGAGGTCACACAGAGGTCACAGCCTCAGCACAACACTACAGAGTTAGAA